GAAGCTCGACCCCGCGGTCACGCCCAAAGTTGTTTCACTTTCCAAATCGTTTTCTTTCGAAAGATATCGCAAAAAAATGATTATTTGCCCGAACGGACCATAGGCAACAACAAAAAAAGAACGTTGTGGAACTTGAGCCAAGAAGGAGGGTGGGCCAAAGACACTCCTCCTGACGTTTTTTCAATGGTTGTTCAGTAGGCGGGCTTCGGCCGTTGCCGCCATCTCAGCAGGTAGTGGGATCCGGGGTGGACGTTGAATACAGAGCAAACATATCCAACAACAAACTGTTGCTCGAACGGTACCCTGCCGCTGACCTGGGGGCGGGCTTCGGCCGTTGCCGCCATCTCAGCAGCAGCCAATCATTAGTCTGGCAGCCAATCAATTGAAAGCCTGGACCAGTGGACCAGTTGCCAATGACAATTCGCTCGGTCGGCGTCTTCGCGAACAACGCACACCGGAAATATTTCATTTTATCATATGTTACATCATCATGGTATGACTATTTTTTTTCTCCGATCTACGACATTACCAGTCGACTACTTCAACTGCAGACCGCCTACACACAAGTGACAAGCCTCTTGAGCTCACCAAACTCAATCGAGAAAAAACGGTATCAACAAACGACGAGAGCACCGCGGGAATCTGCTTGTTCCAGCGTCATGTGGAAAAATAGTGTTCTATATATAGTATACCATATTCCCTCACTTCAGCGTGTGCGTCGTTGGGCATGAGCATCTCACCACCCCTCGAGCCCGAGGCGAACACAACCAGAGCCAACGAATACTCTCAATGAAATATGCCTGACGTGAGCCGTTCTCTACTGCTACGAATGCCTCCCCACCCCCCTATAGGTGCGCTACGCGAAGCCGCATGCTCGACGCTGCGTGAGCGTGGTCGAAAGTTCTCTCTTCTCTCTTGCAGAATATAACGAGCATGAGCGTGCGCCACACTTTGATACAGACGCGTACCCAAAACGGATCTACTTGTTTTGACCACATGCAACTCCGCCCCCCTCCATCCCTCCCCCAGAAGGCAACGGCATCCATCAGCCCGAAAAACTCACACAACGGGCGCAGGAGAAAAAAACAAGGGTAGCCGCCAACCACAACAACCTCCGATGTTTCACACGTAGGTCTATACGTATACCCCCACCCTCATTCAAGGAAGGCATTGAGCAAAGAGATTCGATATCTAGGAACCGCATTTTTATTTGTGAAGGAAGGAAAGCAAACACCATGACGGGATCACTTCATGTCAGCAACGTCGATCAAGAGAGGTACAGAAGACGCAAACCGGTCAACAGGACGGACACCGGTCAACAGGACATGCATCGCAACTACGGCCAACGGCGCATACGGACCAACAACTCCGAAACAAAACACATTCACCACACCAAACGACAAAGCTTCAATGGTACAAGACAGGAAACGATGACAAAGACAAAAGAGCCGGGTGGACAAGGTACAAAATGATTCGGACAACTTATGACCTTCGGCACCTCCCGCACGACACCCGTTCACCTCCCTGTGCGTCAGGTGGCATGATTCCAATTCTTGCGGACAAGCACGCGCTTTTCCCCCCACGACCGACCGAGAAAAAACATCAGAATCAACCTTCCTAGCCAAGTTCAACAAGACGACGTACAAGTTGCCCAAGAACAACGACAATTCACCGTTCCGTAAGAGTTGGCCCTCTTGCTGAGTTGGCCCTCTTGCTGATTGCCACTCATGACAAGGTTCGGCCGCAAGAGCGGGTGCAAAATCGGACCATCACCATGCAGTCGCGCCCTCTTCGTCTCCAAAAAGTGAGCATGGTTCCATCTAAGCCCGAATCACGCAAGCGATCCGGACTGCGCGACTCGGGTGGCCGGCAACAAGTCGGAACGGGTCGGAGAGGTCCCATTCAGACTGTTACATTTTCTTAATAATAGAACAAACCTAACCCCTAACCCCGCGACCCGGGTGAATCGTACACTTGCTAGAAACGAGACAAAGGCGGTCAGTATTTTACACGAACGGATGACTACGGAACGACATCGGGGTCGGAGTCCATTAAACGACACCCGAACCAATCCCATTCATTCGATCGAAGCATCAACGAGCGCCGGGTCAAACATGAACCGAGCAAGGCTAAGCCATCATTGCGTTGCCAAAACAAACCAACGGGCACACACGGCCACGGCTTCACGTTCTCGGTTGCTTTGTCCACCCTGGCGCTGCAGTTGACGTACAGTTGACGTTTTACGGAGGGCCGTAGACCTGGGGTAGGCCGCATTGCAGGGAATGGGCGGGGGAGTTGAAATAGTCGATAGAGAAGGGTGCTCTTGTGCTTAACTCCTTGCGTACGGATGACAGCTGCACATGACGTAATATATTTTCTGGTGCTTTCACTTCCAGAGACAGTTGTAAGCACTGGGCAACTACCTCGAGGGTGCTTGACCATTTAAACACAACGTAGTGCGATCATCCCCCTTGCGCGGAGTGAGGGTTCCACCCCGCACAACATGATCTACTCTACCACCAAACCATTCCAGAGACAGTTGTAAGCACTGGGCAACTACCTCGAGGGTGCTTGACCATTTAAACACAACGTAGTGCGATCATCCCCCTTGCGCGGAGTGAGGGTTCCACCCCGCACAACATGATCTACTCTACCACCAAACCATTCCAGAGACAGTTGTAAGCACTGGGCAACTACCTCGAGGGTGCTTGACCATTTAAACACAACGNGAGCCTGCGTAACAGGTTGTGAAACGACACCACACCGCTCGACTTTGAAAAAAGTATGCATGGACAACTTCGAATCCTCGGGGCTGCCACGTGTCGCATCCCCGTACAAGGCCTACTACGTCGATGCCGTGCCCAGCGCACAGCGTTGTAGCCGGCAGGACCTACAAGACCTCCACCACTGGCCAACAAGACCTCCACAAAACAGCCGGGTACTCACTGACATGGCGTTGAATCCTCCACAGGTTTCGTCGGCATCACCAGAGCAATCATAGTTGCAGTCTGTCGACTCCCCCAAGGTGTCGTACCCGGAGTTGCCGCACCAGCACTGCGGTTTCAAGGGTCGCGGATTGCGTTGTCAGCGTGAAAATTTTAATTCAGCTGAGTATCTTTAGGAAAGGCGCAAAGAGACCTGACTCTTGCAGAGCGTAATAGATCTTATGCAATAGCAGATAATGCTAAGGCTGAGTATATGGCAATGGAAAGAGAATTGACGAGAGGTTAAACTATTTTAGTAAATGCAGGAAATGACCTCGAAATTTTTTAAGATATTTCAGATAGGGCTGAAAAGTCGCGAGTTTTTTTTAATAAAGCTAAAAATACTATGGATAGGGCTCAATCTAGACTGGATGGTGCTGAATTTTTTTTTTTAAATGCCTAAGTAAATTCAACAGGTACTGAATTGAACGAAGAATCAGTAAACTTCCTAGCTAATTCGAACACCGGGTAATCGCGTTCACAACTACACGAGATATTTCAAGGGTGGGGAATGGCGTTGGTTACAACCGTCACTAACGGGTAACGGTGTCAGCACTACATGAGCCGGCGAATTTCTTGTGTGTCGCCATGAACCGCTTCCAAGCTGACGACGCAAAGCTTCGTCTTACGCCATCGCTTCGCCTCCTACATCATCGGCACCCGAAGCCTCGTTTCACGACTACCGATCACCATTCACTACATCGGGAACAGATCCGCCATTCCATCGCCCACCACGTCCGAACTTGGCACGTACACCACCTAACGGCTGGCTTCCCAAGTCAAGCTCACCTCTTCCCCGTACTGCGTTCCGTAGTAGGCGTACTCAGCGCAGAAGTCGGCGCAGAACTGCATAGTTTGGCAACATCGACGATCACGTCGGGTGGTTTTCGACGAGGACAAGCGACCCATGCACCAGAGGTCAAAACAAAGACAGAACGGGCCAAGGATCATCCATCGCAAGTTGATATGCGTCAAAGCCGTTCAACAAGGCGACATCAACCACAAAATGTTGCTACGACCTACGGTCGAAAGCTTAAACAGCTAACCCTACTTCTCATGCCTCCACATCAAAACACGGGACCCGGGTTGCCACGTTTTCAACGGTCGTCTGGGCCAGCCACAACACTCTTCTGCTTACCGCTAAGGTCATGACATCGGAGGCGGTGGTGACCGGGAAGATGCGGTCAGTTTGCGAGTCGACGTAGCAGCCGAGGTACGTGGGGTCGGTAGGCTCGATCACGGCGACGGGCGTCGGCGTCTCCACGGGGTCGGAGCCGGTCGAGTACACCTGCGGCGGCGGGGAGCGGGCACGAGACCCACGAAAAGAGGGTTGGTCAGATGGACGAAACAGAAAAAGATCCTGCCCTATACGACAATCAACCGATGGGCTGTCGTAATGCTAGGCGTATAGCTGCTTACGCACCGACATGGCGTTGAAGCCTCCGCACGTCTCGCCGGCATCACCAGAGCAACCAAAGCTGCAGTCTGTCGACTCCCCCAAGGTGTCGTACCCGGAGTTGCCGCACCAGCACTGCGGTTCCAAAGGTCGCGGATTGCGTTGTCAGCGTGAACACCGGGTAATCGCGTTCACAACTACACGAGATATTTCAAGGGTGGGGAATGGCGTTGGTTACAACCGTCACTAACGGGTAACGGTGTCAGCACTACATGAGCCGGCGAATTTCTTGTGTGTCGCCATGAACCGCTTCCAAGCTGACGACGCAAAGCTTCGTCTTACGCCATCGCTTCGCCTCCTACATCATCGGCACCCGAAGCCTCGTTTCACGACTACCGATCACCATTCACTACATCGGGAACAGATCCGCCATTCCATCGCCCACCACGTCCGAACTTGGCACGTACACCACCTAACGGCTGGCTTCCCAAGTCAAGCTCACCTCTTCCCCGTACTGCGTTCCGTAGTAGGCGTACTCAGCGCAGAAGTCGGCGCAGAACTGCATAGTTTGGCAACATCGACGATCACGTCGGGTGGTTTTCGACGAGGACAAGCGACCCATGCACCAGAGGTCAAAACAAAGACAGAACGGGCCAAGGATCATCCATCGCAAGTTGATATGCGTCAAAGCCGTTCAACAAGGCGACATCAACCACAAAATGTTGCTACGACCTACGGTCGAAAGCTTAAACAGCTAACCCTACTTCTCATGCCTCCACATCAAAACACGGGACCCGGGTTGCCACGTTTTCAACGGTCGTCTGGGCCAGCCACAACACTCTTCTGCTTACCGCTAAGGTCATGACATCGGAGGCGGTGGTGACCGGGAAGATGCGGTCAGTTTGCGAGTCGACGTAGCAGCCGAGGTACGTGGGGTCGGTAGGCTCGATCACGGCGACGGGCGTCGGCGTCTCCACGGGGTCGGAGCCGGTCGAGTACACCTGCGGCGGCGGGGAGCGGGCACGAGACCCACGAAAAGAGGGTTGGTCAGATGGACGAAACAGAAAAAGATCCTGCCCTATACGACAATCAACCGATGGGCTGTCGTAATGCTAGGCGTATAGCTGCTTACGCACCGACATGGCGTTGAAGCCTCCGCACGTCTCGCCGGCATCACCAGAGCAACCAAAGCTGCAGTCTGTCGACTCCCCCAAGGTGTCGTACCCGGAGTTGCCGCACCAGCACTGCGGTTCCAAGGGTCGCGGATTGCGTTGTCAGCGTGAACACCGGGTAATCGCGTTCACAACTACACGAGATATTTCAAGGGTGGGGAATGGCGTTGGTTACAACCGTCACTAACGGGTAACGGTGTCAGCACTACATGAGCCGGCGAATTTCTTGTGTGTCGCCATGAACCGCTTCCAAGCTGACGACGCAAAGCTTCGTCTTACGCCATCGCTTCGCCTCCTACATCATCGGCACCCGAAGCCTCGTTTCACGACTACCGATCACCATTCACTACATCGGGAACAGATCCGCCATTCCATCGCCCACCACGTCCGAACTTGGCACGTACACCACCTAACGGCTGGCTTCCCAAGTCAAGCTCACCTCTTCCCCGTACTGCGTTCCGTAGTAGGCGTACTCAGCGCAGAAGTCGGCGCAGAACTGCATAGTTTGGCAACATCGACGATCACGTCGGGTGGTTTTCGACGAGGACAAGTGACCCATGCACCAGAGGTCAAAAAGGAGACAGAACGGGCCAAGGATCATCCATCGCAAGTTGATATGCGTCAAAGCCGTTCAACAAGGCGACATCAACCACAAAATGTTGCTACGACCTACGGTCGAAAGCTTAAACAGCTAACCCTACTTCTCATGCCTCCACATCAAAACNCAAGTGTTGCAACCAACCCTACTTCTCATGCCTCCACATCAAAACACGCGACTCGGGTTGCCACGTTTTCAACGGTCGTCTGGATCAGCCACAACACTCGTCTACTTACCGCTAAGGTCATGGCACTGGAGGCGGTGGTGACCGGGAAGACGCGTGCAGTTTCCGAGTCGACGTAGCAGCCGAGGTAGCTGGCGTCCGATGGAGTGGTAGTGGGAGAGGGGGCGATGGGCTCGATGGGCTGGGCCACAAGGGGTGAGGTCGCGGGAGCCTCGGTCTCGGCGGGGGCTTCGATCGTGAAGACCTGATCATAAACGGGGGGGTGGGGGGGGGGGACTTGCAAAATTAAGATGAGGAAGAAGGAGGTGACGGAAAGCTCAATCGTGAGGGCCTGGCAAAAAAAGCGACACATGAGCGAAAATACGGAATGGGACCGCGTGTATGGCGATATTTTCTTGCGCATGATATGCAACAGAACGAATTGTTACTATCTCGAACATCAGGTACGCCGGCTGGCAGGGAGTAGAGATGAGGCTCACAACGGATACCGTCACCACTCGGCCAAATCTGTACGATGCCACCCGCGAGGTACAAACCACACTCCGCACCCATGTGTTGCATTTAAGAATGGAGGTGTTGGGTTGGGACTCACCTCCATCGCAGAAAACCCACCGCAGAACTGGTCCGGGTTAGCCTGGAGAAGAGGGGCGCGACAACGGGAACGTTAATTTGGGCATCAACCAACAAGACGACAATCTGAGGAATGAACGCTCCCAAGCGGAAACATCGAGGTCATGAAAGCAACGCAGGTGATAAAACCAATCGACGCCCTGTGTTCATACCAGCCTAGGGGTCCTTCAGCGGGTCTTCCTCGCTCCATCCTACACTCACATCGCACAGATACTCGCAGTCCGAATCGGGAAGGGATCCGTGCTTGTCGTAGTCGGCGGTGGACGAGCCGCAGAAGCACTGGCTCGGGGGAAAACGACAAAAGCGTAAAAGAAAAGTCAACAAAGGAGACCGCGACGGAACAGGACCAAGGGAGGTCAGACATGAAGACAAAACCAAACCGGGAGGGGTGTCGTCACTGTCAAGCTTGGCACCTTAACATGCGCTGTGTTGCGCTACGTATTACATCATCGGCAAGTTAGCGGCGACCGTACCCTGGGCACGTCCACGTCAAGCTTGACCGATACAGTGACATGCTGTCTAGTGGTGATCTGCGAGAAATGGAAAACGTGGCTTTACCGCACACGACAACCTCACTCACCTCGTAGGCGAACTGAACGCCGAAGAAGGTAGCGCCCTGAGTTTCGCAATAGGAGGCGCAGATCTGTTGCAGGACGAGAAAGGAATGAGGCAAATGAACCACAGGGAGGACAGCAACCACTACGTTACAAACGAGTGTGGCGGTCAAGGTCGAAAAAAAGCCACAGTTTGTGTGACGTCGCCTGGAAATTTTGTCGTCCACGCGGAGTGTTTTTTTATTCCGTCACAGAAACCATAACGGTTTCCTAGAGTCTCACGCTGCTGTCGCAACAAACTCACCGCGGGGCTCATGGCCGTCTCGCCCTCGCCGCAGATGTCGGATTGGTCGGGCAGGGCGCGGTCACCAACGTCGTCAGCGAAGCAACCCAAAGACTGTCGTCCGTGTGAAGGGACGGAGCCGCGGACGTTGGTTTCAAGTTGCTCGAGAGGTTACACGTTCAAATCACTTGCCGCAGGCTTCTGCATGAAGACAAAAAGTCTACCCATCCAATACTGATGAAAATCTTGGATTGTCAGGACGTGCGGAGCTCAACAACGATGACAAGCACACACTTGGAAAAAAAACATGAGGACAAGCACACACTAAAACGATGACAAGCACACACTTGGAAAAAAAACATGTTACTACATGGAACACCGCAACCCGTTGAAGACACTACCGCCGTCGGAAGGGATGCCTTCAAGTCCTTCAGTCAGTCAAGTAAAACCGAAGTCCCGTATGATATAGCCGGTGGTCAACAAGGGGGCGGTGTAAGCACGTACCTCGTACGTGGGTTGGTCCTCCGTCTGCTCCAGACAGGTGGTGGCGCACAGGTCACCACAGGGCATGTAGTAGATGTTGTGCTGGAGGTCGAGGAGCATGATCTCACCCTTTCCAGTCAAGAATGATCCGGTACAGCAACAGCACACCGTTCAGCACGCAGCAAGATGTAGCAACGGGAGTCAACAATGTCCATGAGAACTGAGGGGACCACAAGAAAAAATGGGCGTCGCAGAGTCCCCCGTTGGTTTCCTTTCCCGAACTCACCCCAACCGTCTAATTGGGGCAGCCGTTTTGTCAACCGACAAAAGCTCTGTACTCGAAATTCCAACCAAAACAAGCGCATTAGCACTTGCTCTGGATGCACCAAGCAAGTCCGGCCAATACAGACAAGTTGGTAGACACCAGGTGGTCATGCAGAGGACAGCACGTCTTTATCTGCTTCTTACGTTGACGTCCTCGGCGAAGCTGATGATCTGCACGCTAGCGTCACTGATGATGGTGCCAAGACTCCAGCCGTCGCCTTCCTTCACGAGGTAGAAGATGTTTCTGACATCCACAAGCGGAACACCCCCCACAAAGAAAGAAGGATCCAGAATCATCATCGAGGACCCTCACTACGCACGTGTACACAACAAGCGGAAAGTGGAGAAGTCACCCCAGAGCATTCAACGGTAGGACCAACAACAAAAGCGACGACCCTCCGAATGCTCACTTCATGGTGCTGTCTCCGAAGATGTAATGGCCGTACAGGAGGTCCGAGAAAAAGTTGCCGCGGTAAACGTAACCGCCGATAACGGCGTTACCAAGAAGCACGCGGTCGCCGCAAATGTCGACCCCAGCGGTGAACTCGTCGTCACCTACGGACGAATAGTCGGGGTGGCAGTACTCGTAGAGCGGGAACGTGAAGCCAGAGCGGTCGACCCCGTCGCAGGGAGGGTTGTACTCGTTGTTCTCTACGGCCTCCTGGCAGCGGGAGCCCTCGAACCTGGACCACCCGTAGTTGTTACCGCACCTGTATGTCACCATCGAGAACAAACAAGGGGTGGTGGACCACTATGTTCGTGTTTGCCCAAAAACAAGAGGAGCAAGCAGGTGCTTAGCGCAGTTCGCGAACCTTTTATCACAATTATCAGAGACGTGCTGCCTCTCCATTGCCATGAGAGAGTCCCTCCCTGACAAACTTACTCGACAAGGTCGATTTCCTCCACAAAGGTATGTCCGACGTCACCGCAGTAGAGGTCGTCGGTCTCGCGGTCGAAGCTGCACCGCCATGGGTTGCGGAAGCCGATCGCGCAGATCTCGTCCAAAGCACCACCTGGCGTACAAATTTTATGGGTGTTATTCTTTGTCGTCACCACGCGAAACAGAACCAAAACACCCACCGGTGAGAGAAAGGGAGCAACGTAACAATTATCGTCCTGTGGTTAAAAAGAAACTCTTTTACGCCCCGAAACCCAAACCACGAGACGATAAACAAAAACCACACACGAGCGAGGGAGAGCAAAAAACCGCGTTGCAATGCCTTTACAGGCCGCGAAAAAAAAAAAAGTCGCAACGCGACGGACTAATAATCGATACCTCCGTAGTTGCCGGAGGGGATGGTGTAACCGCTCCCGTCGGAAGGCACGGTAATACGCATCATGGCACCAAGCATTGACTGCGTGTCCTGGGCATGGTTATTGTAGTCAGTTTGCGGCCCGCCGTCGCCGGTAGTCCAGTAGAGGTCCTGGGGGGAGGCCTGTGGACGCAAATTTTGATTTACATGTCACGCAGCAAAAACAATGTGGACGTTAAAACGCTTTTCGGTACAACAAAACAAAGTGCAGTGTGTTGTAGCGGAGGAGAGCGCGATCGAGCCCATGAGACGTCACCACGGCATGCTGCAAACCGCGGCACATTTCAGAACAAATCACAACCAAGACGGACGTTTACAATACAAAACTCACGTTACCGTACACGGACGGCTTGAAGCCAAGCCATCCGGCCGAGTGGATGCTGGTGGACTTGGGGGCGGAGGTGAGCAAGACCTCTTCCGAAGCCTTGGTGCCGGCCGGGTCTCCCGGGATGTACGTGAACCTCGCGAGACGGTTGCGTTGCACCTCCTGTAGTGGAGGGAAGGGAGGAGTGCGTCCGGTAAGCCCGAGGGCGAGACGGAAAAATATTTGCAAGCCACGTCATTGAATAAACGGAAGGTGGGAGGAGACTCGACAAAAAAAAGCTTGACGCTCGTGTCGAAAGAACATACCCCAAAGCCCCTTGGGCGAAGCTTTTCATGGCCTTTCTTTCACAAACCCGCAGCAGCAGCACACTGGATGAATCCATGTACACGCCGTCACACGCACGCCGTCACGACCGTACAACATGGCAGCAACGACAAACCGCACGCAGGCTCAAGGTAATAACAACGAACCAAAGAAACAGACCACCGCCATCGACCAAGGAGACTCACCCCATCGTTCAGGTCGACCGTGTAGCTGACGTAGAAGTAGTTCGGGTAGTCGCTCTCGCTGAACATAGGGCCGAAGGCTACGTCGAGCAGACCCTGTCGATGCACAAACGCCAAAAAATGGAACACCGGGGTGGGAGCTGAAGGCAGCCCTCCACAAGTTGATTCATTTGTTTGGCAGTTTATGAAACCTCACTGAAACTTCGAAAAAGACCAGCGGCATTTCCTGCCGAGCCAACGCACCAACAACGACGCCAGAAAAGTCACGCATGAGAATATGCCTCCCTACCCATCGTACCTCCTCGTAGTCAACGTAGAAGGTACCGTCAGTAACCGATCCGGAGACGTCGATAACCAGGGATGAGTCGTCCATGTTGTCGGAATCCACCTGTGTACGGAACGAAAATCAAAAGAACCGCACACAAACACACAACCGGTGCTCTTTCATTGCATGGACAACCTCGGAGAAGGACTTTCAACTGTCTTTTCTTACAACACCTGTGGGGGGAGATAGTCCCGCCGAAGCACTTGAAACAAATGACACCCTGTGAGCAGACGAGAAACCGGAAAGACGCAACCACGACCCGACGTCCGCAGACAAGACAAACCTATGGCTTCTCACCGCGTAGATCTCGCCCGAAAGGCCCACCAACCACCATTGGCTGCCGTCGGGGGTCTGTTTTGACCAAGGCAACCAAGCAGGGAAAACAAGGGGAACATCGGTCACTCTACAACGGGGGGCGGGGGTAAGCTCATTTACATGCCGCGCGATCGCGAACCGAGATGCGAAAAGAGTGAGCTTCGACCGCCATTTTCGGTGTTGTGGGTACAGTGCGACAGAGACGAGGTTAACATTAAATGAACCACTTTGACCGGGTTTGTACGTTCCTTGTCCCGAGGAGTCATCACCCACACGTACCTGTCTCATGCTGACCGTGTCGCTCGGTTGTTCTCCGTCGCCGAGGTCCGGGAAAAGCTCGTTAAGTCCGGGCTCGAAAATCTCCGCTGATATTCCATGCAAAAATATCGAGTCGGCGTGTTGAAACCACGCAATAACAGAAAGGGTCAACTCGTCCTTCAGAAAAACCTCTCCTCCATTAGGAGGAGCGACGTCGGGAACGCCGTTTGTACAATAAGGCAGGGGATTGTACAACGACGATTTTCGTCATGTGTTGATGAGTGGAAGCGGCCCCGGGGACTCCCGTTCTACGCTTCTCGAAGTGCGACAAGATTGGAGACACACTCAGAACAACATAATCACATGGGCAACAACTGGGCCGAGGCGGCCCCAACGACTCACGTTCCTCGTACGGGTAAGACCAGAAGAAGTCGGCCCCGCCGCCGGTGTGGTGGTCGCAGTAGCTCACTCCATCATAGGTCGGGAAATCGATATAAGCCGCGCACGCGTCGACCAACGACTCGCAGAACTCGTTTTTCATGGTCAGCCCGTCCAGCATGCCGCCGTCCGTAAGGTATTCGTACAAGTGGGCACTGTACGAGTGGCATACTCCGCACACCACCTGGTTGGTTGTGATGTGTAATTTTTTCGCGCAGTACGAACGCACGCACCCCCATCCGCGCCGTTGGTCGGCCGGTCGTAACAAAACAGCAAGGCGAGCAGACATCAGCAGTGCATCATCACCAGTGGAAGGACGTGAGCCAGTGTCGAGCGTACAAGCGCGAAAAGGGTTTACCGAATGAAGGAGAGAGGATGGGAGACAGCTGCTGGTTTGCACGACGATGGGAACGACCATATTTATTTCGAAAACACAACCAACACAAGAGACTACCTATTCATACAAGACCACACATAGCCGAACACGAGTACATAAATTGAAAGGTACGCTCCCATGTCTTGGCACGATGCAGCGCAAGTGTCATGGGAGGGAAGTAACACAAACGAACAAGGCGCCACAGAAACATTTTATGTCTTTGGGCATCTTCGTCGTGCGAGAGAATCTCGCCCTCGGCTACTTGTACTTATTTACTCCGTGATAATATAAAGGCTATCTCGGCAAGGCCGGGGAAGTACGGGCGGTGTAACTTTACCCGACGGCCGACGACTTAGAACAGCGATTTGACAATACAAGATGGAATGAATGGACTGCCTCTTTACGGTTGGTTGCTGCCACAGCAGGAAGAGGACGATCGCCGAGACACGCGCTGGTTTGTGTTCGATTTACGTCAACTTGCTGCGGACACAACCATTGTTGTTGTTGTTGTTACAACGTGTCCATCACCCTATTCTGGGGAAGGATGAAAGACTGCCTCGATCTCCCTGCGGTGCTGATGTCGGGATAATGTCGCACGCCAACTGCTGCTTGCTTGCGTTTTGATTGATCCGAGCGTGCGCGCTAGCGAGCAGGGGCGAGTCCCTTCTGTGTCAGGAAAACCCCACCTTTCCCTTACCCTTCTCAACAGGGGTTGCCGATCCCTTTGGAACAAACACAAAAACCGCGACAACACGGAGAACATACTACGCACCTCTGGAGCAAAGATGAAAACGTACATACGAGCTGCCTGCTGCGCTATGCAGACGTGTTTGACTCCTGTGCACGGTATGTCAACAATCTGGTACTACAATGACTGCCTTTTGGAACCGTTGCGAGCGTGTGTGCGGACACACGACCAATGATAATTTACAGCAGTGTACAATTCGTGAGAGAAACTCTCGAGAAACTCTCGATTCGTGCGCTGACACAAAACACCGGACGCACGTCACGTCCGTCGCGAATGGCCACATACTTGTCCCAAGGCTACTGTGCGCTCATGTTGTATGAGGCGCAGGACCAAATGGTACGTGCCCAAGCAGCGCCACAAACAATGACCTGTCAGGCGGTTCTTCGGAACAAGACAGTTATGGCATAAGAGAAAACGCCTTCGATAGCTTTGCAAAAATTTTCTTTCGTGTTCCAGGAGAACCGGGGGAGAGCCACCCCGCAATTTGATAGCAACAACGCCGACAAACCGCTGGAGGAATAGCAACCAGCGGCACTGCTGTTTTGAGGTAAGGCTCCTCCGATGATTGATTATATTCGCGTCGGTTCACCCAAGGACAAACGCACAAGACACGGAATGCAAATCAAAACAAACACACCGACCGCGACGGTAGAAAAGCAGGATCGTCAGCTCGGCGCTATTGCTTCTCGCGATGAGGTGCACGTCCCACATTGTACGCGACATGCTTCTCTTTGGTTTCTTCCGCAAACCGCTCGCCGAGATTTGTGGCCGGGCAGCAGCCGTCCGCCGGGAAAGGCGGTAGAAAGCGTCCGGTGGTTCGTTGCAAATAATCTTCAGGGAAATTTAGTGAGGCAGCAGCATGTTAGGCCCGCCGGGATTATGCGATTGTCCCTTTTTATCAACCCGACGAATCATGTGTAAGCAGCTGCTGCGCACCCGCCCCGTCCAGCGTGACGGTCAACATCATGCGGAATGGCGCCCGAGAGGATCCTCCTGCGGGAAACTATCAACGGCAAGACAAAAGTGCATAGACCGTGTGGATAGCCAGGGGGTGTTTTTCTTGTTTTGTTTTTTTGTTTGTATCACAACAAATTCATCGTTTTATTTCTTAATTTTTTTCTCCTTCCTCTCATTTTTGTCGGTTGGGGCGCCGTGCTCGTTCTTCCATGCTTTTGTGGTGTGTCAGGCTCTTCGCATCAAAAAAGCAGCAAGCGGAGTACGGCTGCTGCTGCTTCTGCCAGGATGCACACGCGCACGATGCAGCACATGGCGGGTGGCCAGCACGCAACATGGGCGTGCGCTGCTCTGTATGCTGGGTCTTATTCTGTTTCCTTTATTCTCGTCGGATTTTGTTCGCTTGCATCCATGGGTAAAGATCAGAGCGGGCAAGAACTGAACTATACCCCGACCCGCTCCATTGTCACGAAAAGACCGCAACAAAAATCAAGGTCAAGTTCTTGTTCTGCCCTCCCAAAACACGCGACTACCGATGCTGTGGGCACGCACAGCTACGATCGCGTGTGCCGTTCACTGCTGTCTACCATCGCGTCGTCGGAGCAAAGCGAACGGAGGCGTCAATTTCTTGTCATCTCAACGAAGTCCGAATATATGTGGCTCCGAACGGCTACACACCCCCAAGGGCAAAAAAGAGCGGAGAACCCGCCCGTGTGCCAACAAACTCTTTGAACTCCGCTTACGTCTTGTTAAAAGCGCACAAGCCCGACAGCAGAGAGGCGAACCTCGTCTTCAAGACAGACGGCGCGCGAGAGTGACAACCGCCGGAGGACCGTTCTTGTAGGGGCCTGTTGCGCGCATCACCAACAACGCACTGGAAAAGAATTGACACAAATTCCATGTTTTCACCCAAAGAGAAGATTCTATGTTCGCCCGGTCTGCTCGGGGACACACCGACCCTCTGATACGACCACGACACCAGAATAAATCACAACCCACCTCCTTGTAGAGAGCAGCGCACTCCGAGCTGGGCACCACGCCTTCCGCAAAGGCGGCGTCGAAGTTGGCCTCCACCTGACCCTCTTCCTCATCCGTGCAGCAAGCGCCGGACATGGCGATCGAGTTGTCGCAGAAGGTGAGAACTTGGTCATAATCCGTCGGCCTGTCGTCGAAGTAACAGAGGGGGTGCGCGGCCACCTTCGTCGCGGCCAGCGCCGCGAGACACGCGTAGGCACGCATCACGTCGTCCTTGCTCCGTTACTACTACCACCACTGCTACTACCAGCACCGCTGTGCTTTGCGAGGAGGAGGTGGTGAGCAACGATTTCCACTGAAGAGGTCGGAGGGAGAAGGGAAGGGGAAAAAAAGGAAGTGTGTGTGAATGAGAGGAGAAGGGGGAGCGCGACCTGACGTGGAGGACCGGGCAAACAAGATAGAGATATCTGTCAATAAAAAAAATATGTGTTTACACAATGGCAGCATTTGTTCGGAAAAGGAAGACCGAATTGATGCGTGCGGCAGGGATCGTGATATGAGATCTGTCCAAGCCCATCAAACGGAAAAGTTCGGGGTATATCACGTCAGAAAGTTCTCGTGGAACCGGAAGAGATTCGTGTGTATGTTTTCATCTGTTCTGGCAACTGTTGATGGAATCAAAACACTTGCAATTTTATCGTTACGGATTCATTTTAATTGATAGCCCGATTGCCGCCTCACGACACAAGTGCCGCGCTGGATCTTGAAGGTGGGTTGGTCGCCAGCACTTACCCCCCTCGGGGTATCTATGATGGGGTTGTAACGATACTCAGAAGGTTGTTATCGTCTCTCGACTCTGATGGTCATCACGTGGCTTTATCGTTCGTGGCTTTATCGTCCGCAGCTGACCGTTTGGCTGCAACTAGTCTACTGCTTCCGTCTTGCTGTGGCGTTCATTTCTTAGCCCTAGGTGGAGCAACACCAGGCAATTACCACCTGCTGCCGAATTGTTAGCACCTGCTGCCGATGCTTCAGACTGGTTGCTGAACTGCTGTGCACCCCTAAACGGCTCGAAAAGCACTGCTGTGGGTCAACAGCAGTCCCCTCACGAACTTCCATCAAGTTGTGGGGCCACGGATGGATCTGTGTCGTCACGAACCACCATCGGCGGACCTGCGGGTCGTCTCCTGTGATATCAGACTAGACTATTACCCCATTCCTTATGAGGGATGCCGCCGCCCCCATATGCATAGTACAGAGTAGCAGTCAGTATGCATCTACATGTACTAACTGCTGTCTTAGATGCATGTTGACCCGCACTCTTCACAGGCACAGCATATCACATCCTACAGGGTACTGGTTCCCTATCTATCGCAAGGATCCCAGCGTTTTACCGGAAGGTAATTTTCATCGTCACGAATTGTCACGAAATATTTGTGAGTGTGGTCGCGCCTCCCTCCGCGTCAGCGTTGCCGCCGGTTGCATTGGTTATCCGCCGAAACGATTTGTCTAGTGCACCCAAATACTGCAGAGTCACAAAAAAAAGGAGATTTTGTCCTCGCTCTTCTTCATTTCATTTTTTCTCCGTTTTCTTTTTTTTTTTCTCTTTCCTGTGCCAGATAGCCTAGAATAGTCTCTGTTTGTGAAGTACCAAGATTGAAACAAGGGGGTGTACCTCTTTCTCTCCGGCCCGTGATGGTGACTTCTAGTCTCAGTTATCACACCTCGCATAGCGCGCAGAGGGAGTGGAGGACTCCAGAATATCAGTCGTTGATTTCTATTGACTTGCGGACCCCTCGGGGCCAGTCAGTTTATTTAATTAAGGCCTATTGTTATGGGGAATTCCAATTTGGAAATTTGCGAGCTTGGAAAAAGCGG